AGTGCAGTTTAATTTAGCCTTATTCAACTAAATATATGTTAGATAGTTTCCATTAATTTAATAATAAACCAAACACAGGAAATATTTTTATTTTCATTGCTTTCAGACTGACTTTTTGCAAAATTATTGTATACGTAAATTTTCACTTGCTTATTCGGGCCTAAAGCCAAATCGCAAGATTACCTATTCGGCACGCGCCACACCACACATATATATATAACAATATTACATTATATAGTTATATGTATATATATATAATATATATATATTTATATATATATATATATATATATATATATATTATATATATATATATATATATATATATATAAATCACGTGTATGTATGTGAAGCAAATGGGGTGAAAGTATACATATATACTATGAAGGAGTTGTATTTATAGAATTGTAAAGGCAAATATTCAAGTTTGCTTATTGCAATGGCACCTTGTACATTTGGATGCTTAATGCATCTACTCTGAGTATTTCAGAATTCCAAGACAGATTAAAGAGTATACACCACTCAGTATTTTAGACAGGTTCTAAAACCTCTAGTGTGATTGCATCCTATTTATTTCATCATGCCAAATTTGCCTACAGCCTTATGTTATAACAGATCATATTTAAGCCATAAATCCATAAAACATATAAACTCATAATAGCACAAGGATTAAAGTTACATGAGTGATTATTATACATATAGGAATGAGATTATGTAGAGTGATCAATAATCCTGTGGTCACTGATTTGTGACAATCTTAGCTAGAGGCATATCACTCAAATGGTCCTTGTGTTCAAAGCACTGAATTATCTGAACATTTCAATCATTTGCTTCAAATGAAAATGTAAGATAAAACTGAAGTGCATGTGAATACTGTAAAATGCATGTCAATGCTTGAGACTTGTATAATATATGTAGGAACTTGTACATAGTAGCGTGACATGTTTAGGGTCATCATAGTACATAGGTAGGTTATTCTCTCTTTATATCTCTTCATCTTAGTCTCTCTTTCTGGGCATACATATTAATCCTCACACATTTAGAATCCCAGTGGACGCATTTTGTTATGATACGGTACATCAAACTTGAAAAGTTCATATCTGTTCGGTGATTGCTATATTTATAAAGTTTTAAAGGAAAAAATAGTTTCTTCTTTTTACCTGTCTCAGATATTTTAGAGTTAATCTATTTTCAAGGCAGTGGTCAAGAAAATTGTTGTTATCCTCATTTAATTCAGTTGTTGTTATTTATATTTGTTCAGAATTGTGATGCTTTATTTCTCTGATGAAATGTGGCGTGAAAAGTACTGTCTTATAATTCAAACTCAGTAATCAATGTGAATGATTGAAAGTGTGTAATAGAATGGACACTTATGATGTGAAAGTTTGGTTACATTTTTAGTTAAATAAGAAATGTATGGTATAGTGTCCACCACTAAACTTGTTCATTATCATTAGATTGTTAGAATTATTTATCGGTGTGTTCACAAAATTTTAATTAAGGTATGCAGAATCATTGCAAAGCCATATGCAAGTGTGTACAGTACAAGTGGATGAAGTAAATAAATATTTTGTTCTTGTTTTTATTTAAGTATGCAAGATATCCCCCACCACCATATTTAACCCACCATTTCCTTTCCATTTCCACTTACAAAAATCCCAACCCTTTTGTCCTGTCATATTATTGTTTATGCCTTTTTTTACATTGTATTCAAAGACTTTGTCATGGTGACACTGAGGGATATGATTGTTTTGTTTTGATTTTCCGGAGGTTAGGTTTGAGTGGGGTTGAGTGTTTTGGTAGGATGGGGGGGATCTTGGTTTGGATTGGGATGTTGGGATGGGTATGTGGGTGGGTGGCAGGGGGGGGGGGGGGGGGGGGGGGCGGGGGGGGGGGGGGGCGGGTGGGCTGGGGCGAACGGGTGGGGGGGTGGGGGGGGGTGGGGGGGGGGGGGGCACGGGCGGGGGGGGGGGGGGGGGGGGGGGTGGGGGGGGGGGGGGGGCGGGGGTGGGCGGGGGGGGGGGCCGGGCGGGTCGGTGTGTGTGGATGGTTTTTGTTTTTTTTCTGGTTTGTGTTGTTTCTTTTTTTTACAGATGGTGGGCATTTTCTTTCCAACGGCAAGTTTGTGACCTATAAATCTTAGGATTACATTATTGCAACTGGGCCTACCTTGGCCCAGATGGGGGGTGGTTAAGCTGTTGGATTTGCGTAAAAGAGGGGGTTGGCTCGGCTTTATGGTAAAAAATTGAAAGGATGAGGGGATCCAGTGTGGTGGCTTCGTTGGAGGACTGCCATTTGTCAGGGTCCGTCCTCAGATGAACCGCATGTCAAGCTTCAGCTTAACCGGTTTTTTCCCTAAATACCTCATAAATGTTATCTTGCACACTCCAACAGTCCATTAATTAATTTTTTTTTTTATAAACCCCTATTTTTTTTCTTCCTATTCACCTAATTGCTAGACACACAAAGCCCCTTCTGGATTGGATCTAGAACCTTTCAC